ATAATAGGGAACACAAATTATAAATATGTGAAAACCATAGAGGTTAACTTTCCATCAAGGAGCTACAAATTGGAATTTCGTGCAAGAAGGAATAAGCAAGCCACTCAATAAAATGAAAGATTAACAAGGAAAATGATGCAGAATTAAGTCATTTTCATCTCAAATTGCAGACAAGAAGCACCGTAAGTGTAAAGGACTATATATGTCAGAATTATTTGTATAGTCAAATGCAATTTATGCAGAAATAAAGGTTGAATCAGGATCCAATCTCAATAATTGGCAAATACTTGAGCAACGACATCTGAAAATAATCAACTATAACAAAAATTTTCAAAATTCACTTCATTATCTGAACAAAACTTCCAAAGTTCAAATAAGATCTAAATCCATGTCCACCTACAGTCTTAAAAACTTCAACATAAAACTTGTAATGTTTGAAGGTAACCCCTAACTGCAGATGAGATGCCTTGATACAGGGACGAAAGCAGACCTTTTAGTCAAAAAGACTGAAACCCATATCCTGCAGCAAGATTGAAATTTAGAGTCAGGTATAAATGTAAAACATAAAACTCGCAAACCAATGAGGAATTGGCATGTCAACTAGAGGATGAAAGATAAGAATGATTACATCGTCAGACTCCTCCTTCTCTTCCACCTTCTCCTCCTTCTTGGTCTCAGCAGCAGCAGCAGGGGCAGCACCGCCACCACCAGCAGCCGCTGCAGGAGCAGCAACAGCGACGGCACCACCACCAGATGGAACTGAAGCCAACTTTTCCCTTCCAGCTGCAATTAGCTCCACAACATCTTTACCCGTGACTTCGGACAAGAGCAACTCAATCCTATCCTCCTCAACCTCACACCCAACTACAACACACAAAAAAGAAGAAAAAACAACACCATCAGAAACCTTAATCATCTTCCAAAAACATGGGAACTCCAAGTCCGATTTCTGGAAAATACCCAACACTCCCCCAAATCAAACTAGGTCAAACCCAACAAAATCCTAGTAAAATTGAACGCAATCTTCTACAACATAACATGTTAGAAGGAATTCTAAACAAGCTAATCATCTAGGGTAAAGAAACAATCACCAAGGATTATATACTCCACCATATCTCATAGTAACTTAGCTATTACCTGATCCGAGAATATCCTTCAAGTCATCGGCGGTAGGGTTGGCGTTGCCTCCCAAAACAGCGAGCAAGTATGCAGCAATCACCTTCATCTCTGTTAAATCATAAAAACACCCAAAGACCCAAACTCAATCAACACATAAAAACATCAAGACATGCACATTTACAGAGAACGAGTAAGAAATTCGTGACAGTTACCTGAAAACCCGGAGCGGCGAAGCACGGAGTTTGCGGGCAATGTAGGGTTTTCAGAAGATACGAAGGGAAAATGGCGATGTTGGGGTTTATATAGTTAGGGTTTTTGATTCAGTGTCTGTCTTGATTGAATCGTGGCCGTTCATTCTTCTTTTCCTCTATGAATTCTCGATTTTAGCCTCCGTGTTCTTTCGTCCGTTTGGTTACATTGTTACATTTATTCCAGCTCTGGTCACATTCCTAATCCTAGTTGAAGTTTGGCAAAACCCTATGTTAAACCACTAAATTTATTTTAAATTTTTAATTAAGTTCCTAAATTTTTATTGAAGTAAATAAATTCCTTAAACTTAATCATTTAGATAATTTAACTTTTTTTTCCCCTTGAGAGACACAAAATATGTGTGCCCACACAAGAAGAGGTGTGGAGAGAGAGTGTTAAAATAGAGGAGAGAGGGGAAAAACAATATAAAAAAAAAAATATATAATAATATATAAAATAAAAAATAAAAAAAAAGAGCACACCACGCTTCGAGACAAAAGACAAAACCTCACAGTGAGAGACACACCCCCCTCTCCATAGACGCGGTTCAAACACAACCCCTCAAAAACTGGTCAAAAAAAAATATATTAAAACTGATCAATTAATACCCAACAATTAATAGTTACTTTTTAATATATGAAACAACACCCCTTACTTACTTGAATAAGGCCAACACTTATTATATAAATAATAAAGTATTAACAATTTATTCATGCGAGTAATGTATAAATGAAATTTAAATCTACAATAAAAAAATTAAATTACACAAATCATCAAATGCAAAAATTTATCTATTTTAATAAAAATTTAAGATAAATTTAAGAGATGAACGTCATGGTTTTGCCTTAAAGTTTCAAACATCAATTTTCAAAACCCTAACAACGTCACGTGATGGTCAGGATTGAAAAGCAATGTCACGTGTAATCCGCCAGGAAAGTATTCATACAGTGGCTCTGATAGGTGGACCAACAACAGCCGTTAAAAAAGAATCTTTTTCAATTTTTAAATTCATTTAAATAATCTCCTCACCTGGAGCGTCCCTAACCGGCGATTTGCGGTGGCGGCGGCTCCACATCCGCCACTACTTTCGCTTTTCCCCCCCTTAACTTTCCCCAAAATTACGTCAAGGGACCTAATATCCCCCGATTATTTCTCCAAAATCCAGGGGGTAAACATGAACAATTCCACACAGTCCAGGCCGGACTGATTTAATTTAATCCCCAAATCCAGACGACGTTCACCGGATTCTCCGTCGAATTTATCCTTTCCGTTTCGGAAGTTAAACCCTAATTCGACTTTTACACTTTAAATTTTAGAAACCCAATTTCAGTAGAAATTCACAGTAGGGTTTTTAGAAAGATGAAAGCTTCTATGAAATTCCGTGATGAGCAGAAGCCGTTGTTGAGAGCCAAGGTGCCTCTCAGCATCTTGGGCTTGCCGTTCCAGTCGGGGATCGTCGCCGGTGAGTCGAAGGAACTTACGCTAAACCTCGCCACCTTCTTCGAATCCGGACCGTCGATCAAGCTTGCCTACAGACCCAATGACACGTGGAATCCCTTCTCCGTCGTTGTGAAGACGGGGACCGGGTCGTTTGGATCGCCGATGTCGAGCTCCATGCTTATGAGCGCCGAATTTAGCTTGCTCCGTGGTGGGAACCCTAGCTTCATGCTTCACTTCAAGCCTAGGTTCGGGGATTTCTCGATTAAGAAAGTGCAGTCTTCGGTTTTCGACAAGGCGGCGACTTCACATAACGGTTTTGCTTCCGAGGACGATTCGTCAATTGAGATGGTGGAGCCGGCGATGGTCAATGGCTGTGGGTTCCATCAGCAGAGCAAGAAGATTATGGCCTTACAAGCGGGCGATTTCACTGGGATTCTCTCCGGCATGGAGGTGTCTGCGAGGACGGCACTGCCGGTGAAGGGACGCGCTGTGGTCAATTTCCGGTGGGGAGTTAGGGTTCCGGCGGAGATGAAGAGTGGGTTTGCTGGTGGAAACTATCCAACAACAGGGTTTTCGTTCAAGAAAGTCCCTTTTCTCGTGATGGATAAGATTGGGATCGAGTACGTCGATGGCACCGATTCAAAGGGCTCATCTGCAACCACTAAAGCAGCAACGGCAGGACCAGATTGGGGTAGCACCCATATGGCGGAGGCTTGTTTTGCTGTCAAGCATCAGCTGGAGATTCTGCAGGCTGAAAACAGCTTATTGAAGAAAGCCGTGGATGATCTCCGGCAGGAAATTGCCTCTGGGAAAATGGGAGATTTCATTACTCCCAAGTACAGAGAAATTGAGAGAAGTGGAATCAGTAGTAAATCATCAAGTAACAAATTTGAGAGGCGAAACAACGAGAAAAAATCAATGGAAGGGGATGTAAATGAAGAGTTGAAGAAGGCACTCAAGGGAGCTACTGCTGCTTGAATTTGTCGAAACTTCTTATGATAGCTCGTTTGCTTAAGTGTTTCTATTTTGCATCTGAAAGATAATATATTTCTGCTTCAGTTAGATATTCAAGCTTTTTTTTTTTTTTTTTGGTAATGCATTGCATTAATAGATATTGTGTTCATATATAATTCTTGGACAAAGAGATTGTTGAGCATTTTACTCGAAATTTTTTTGAATGGAGCTTGATGAGTATCAAATCTTATATATGTTAGCGGAATCCCTGCTATGTATTGCGGACATTCTCTTGTGAGTACAAATATCAAGAGTGTTTCTTTGCTGTGCTATTTGCAGGCTGAATTTTAGATTGAAAGTGGAACTAATCTCTTAGAAATTGTTAAATGTAAAACAACTGTTTCTGACACTGAGATTTTCACCTATTTTGTTTGAATGTTGTCATACTTTAGTCTTTTGATATTCAAGCTTTTGATTTTACCTTGTGATAATTGAAATTTAGCCATTTTGGCTGTTCCCATTACATAGTCTGATTGCAGGATTTGCTTCTTCTTCTTCTTCTTCTTCTTTTTTTGGGTTCAGAACTGGAAAATTGTGGTGGTTCATGTTGATCTCCGGCAGGAATAGTCACTTATCCCACACTGTTATGTTGTGCTTTTAAGAAATACATACAGGATCTATTTATTCTAGATCAGGTACTGAGTATGCTGCAAAACTTGAACTAATAGCTAGCAGCTTATCTGATTTAAATTTTTTTTTCGAGGGAGGATGTGGTACGCTGATACAGTAGTGATATACTAATTGTGCCTTTACAGCTGTTTATAATGTACTTGCACAAATAGATATGTTTTTTTTTTGTTGGTACATTAGAAGCAAAGTTACAGCTTAAACTCTAAGGAACAAAGCCTCTATACTGTCTTCCTGTAAGACCGTATTCATTCCAGCTGGTCGAGCTGAGTAAAAAGTTCCCTTAAGGTGATGTGTCCAAGAGAGGCCATATAGTCGGCCGCTATATTGCCCTCCTGTAAGGTGTGTGGGACGGTGCAAGAAGCGACTGCATCTACTACGACAAAAATGTCAGCAAGCAGCACTGAGGCGACCCCCGGAGATATCTGTCTATTCTGAATCATTTGCACTGCTAGCTGTGAATCCATTTCAAGTATCAACTGCTGTATCCCAAGGGAATGAACCAGTCTCAAGCCCTCTCTACATCCCCATGGTTCAAGCAATAAAAGCTTGAAATTGTACCAATATGCACCACAAAGCAATGAAGCCAATTTCCACAATGATCACGGATTAACCTCCCGGTACAAGCTCGGCCTGAATCATGGTTCTTGGAACCATGGCATTGAACTTGAGGAAAGGAGGATTTGGAGGAATCTACCTCACCCAACGAGGTGGTCCATAAGAAGAACATATATATCATGATTATATAATTCTAAATCAATGGTTGTTGGGCATTTTCTCTTAAGTCTTAATTTATTAGAAGGTTAAAATACTAATGGGTTTGTGTAATCTATGTCATAAGGGTATAAGTTAAGAAATATTAATTACATATATTTTTGTAATTAATTTATATAAAAAAATAAAAATAGACTTTAAATTCATCAACTATCTAATTAAAATCATTCAAATGGTATTAATGTTAAAAACAATGCCTTACTTTTACATTTTTTAATAAAAATTTATTAAAAAATAATACATTTAATACACTTTAACATATACCTAATAGCACATGTTAGATAAATTCAATATTAACTTAATTCTTCAACTTTTAAATTTATATCAAAATTGTCCTTTAATTTTTAAAAATACCAAAAATTTCCTTAAATTTTAAATTTTTTATACTAAAATAGTTCTTGAATTTTGAAAACAAATACCAACTTAATTCTTAAACTTTGAAAGCAAGTACCAAAATGAGCTACATGGCACTTCGGTTAATGAAATGACTACGTTAGTATCAAAACAATATTCAATTACAAGCAAAGGTAAATGGAGGTATTTATAGTACTCATTTATGATAGTAACATTATGTGTCCTTGTTCAGTTGATTCACGTGTCACTAGTCACGTGAGTGAATCATCATTGCTTGTTATTGCTCTTTGGCTTTACTTGGGCCATTTGGGTCTGAGCCATCTCCCCAACACCCCCTTAGTTTGTCTTATAATTTATTT